GCGAGGGGCCTGTGGGACACACTCAGGGCCAAGAGCCGATGGGACCTGGCTCATCACGGCTGAGACCCCCCTGGTCCTGCACCCCGAGGCATGCCGCCGCCCCAGGATGCAGAGCACATCCCTGGCACCCACCCATAAGGGACACTGGATGGTATCACCGTACTTGGTGGTATCACCAAGTGCAGGGTCCAGGCAGCTCCATACCGCTGCCACCGCGGACGCTGGCAAAACCGGCTGTACCATACTGTGCCATGCTGTGCCATGCCATGCCATGCTGCAAGGTGCCATGCCATGCTGTGCCTCATCGTACCACACTGTGCACATGGTACCATGCCATGCTGTGCTGTGGCATGCGCTCAGTGCCATGTCATGCTGCATGATACAACACCATGCCATTCCAAAGCATGGGCACAGTGCCATGCCACGCCACACCTCTGAGTGAGCGTCTCCCAGACAGAGACTGGTGACCACGAGGCTCTTCCTGATGCCTCTCAGTGAGGGCACAGATGCTGCTCACAGGGGGAACAGGGGGGCCAGACCCCCTCCCCACCAGCTCCTCCAGGCACCTCTCCAGGCTGCGGAGCGGGCAGCTCTCAGAAGGCATCTCCATTGTAACTGTGAAAGCAAATTTGAGCCCCTGGCATCCCCAGCAGCTAGGCACCCCCGGGCACACCACACTGGGGCCAGTGGGACACCCAGATCCCCAGTACCAGATGCCTGCACTCCCTCATCCCCATGCTGGAGTCCCTGCTTCCACCACGTTGCCTAGCTCTGTGCTGGCTGGGGTCTGGTGAGGAGCCACCCCAAGAGAGACCCCCATTCTACAGCAATGCCGGTGCCAGCATCAGGAGAAACCCCTGCTCCCAGGGCACCAACACCAAAACCCCCTGCCCAGCCCTTCCTCAGCACAGCCAGGGGTGCAGCCCCCGCCATGGCTCAGCACTTGGCTCCCTGGGACCCCAGTGGTGCTGCCAGGGCTGGTGGGGGCTTTGGGATGGCTTCACCTCCAGCACCCTCACACCCTTGCCACCACACACTGCCAGGCACCAAAGCAGAGCCCCTGCATCCCCAGTGCCTGCTGGGGCAGGACCAGGCCCTCACCCACCCGCACAGCCCCATTGCTCACCGCTGGCACCTGTCCGCTCGGAGCCCGCTGCTGTATCCCCGCTGGTGGTGGCACCTGGGTCCGCATCAGCCTTGGGGCCACTGAAGAGAAACTCTGGGATCTCCTTCACCAGCCGCACCAGGGCAGCGAGGGCCGGGCTGCTGGGGGTCCCTGGGAACAGGGCAGGTGGGGGTCAGGCAAGGCAGCACCCCAATGCTGAGCTATCCTTGGCCATAGGAGTGGGACCCGCACACTGTCCCCGCTCTGGCTGGGACCAGCACCGGGCAGGGCCCTACCAAGAGATGCCAGCAGCCAGGATGTCCCCTCTGTCACCTCGCGGTGCAGGTCCCGCTGCCATTCCTCCATCAGGTCCCACTCCTCTGCCGAGAACCACACTGCCACGTCCTCGAATGTCACCAGTGCCTGTGGGGACGCAACTGGCGGGTCCCAGCCCTCCTCCTGCAGGGGGGCAGAGAGGGAATAAACCACAGAGCCATGCCGGGCAGTGGTAGGACCCTGGATGGGCCTGAGGTGTGCAGGGATGGTGGGTGCAAGCAGATACACTGGGGGCTGGCACGTGGCTGCAAAAGGGCTGGTGTGCCCATCCTGCATGGGCATGGAGGCAAGGGTTTCCCAGCATGCTCCCGCCATTCTCCCATTGCACTTCCCAGCATGCTGAGTGACAGGTCCTGCACGCTTCCCGCTTGTCAGGGAGCCTGTGTGATAACCTGCCCTGACACCATGGTATTTGCAGCAGGGATCACTTCATCCAACCTTTCCCTCCCTGGCTGGCTGGGCAGGGGCCCAACAAATGTGATGGTTGATGCCAGCTCCGTGCCACTGTACCTGTCCCACTGGCATCAGCTGTGCGGGGATTTGCCAAGAGAAGGATCCCCTGAAGCTCCATGGATGTGGGGGGAGCAGCCCTGGCACTGACCAGCCCCTGAATCCTACCCAGCACCCCCAAGCCCAGAGCTGAGCCCCATTTGCCCATGGTAGCAGCCGGACTGACTGGCAGCGCCCCATGACTCCCAGCCCTGCTCCTGCTGTGCCTGCGACCACCCTGGTGGGACACTGACCTGCAGGAGACGATGGG